CCCCAAAACCCCAAAACCCCAAAACCCCAAAACCCCAAAACCCCAAAACCCCAAAATAATAAATTCACTTGAATAATATTACTGATCAATAAATCAATGGACATTTTGTGTGTTAATAAAACTTTCCAGAATGAGTTTCCAAAACGGTTAAAATTTGGATTTACTCTTATGCTTCACAATCTTCTTAAACTTGACAAAATCGATCTCTTCATCCTCGCTAATATTAAGGATCATTAAAACTTCACTGATATCGCTCTTTGTCCGGGGTGAATCCACCTCTCCCAAAGCATCTTGGAGCTCTGAATATGGTAAATAGCCGGTGTCTTGGTTAATATACTTGGTAAAAGTTAACCACATTTTAGTATCTGTTTTATAATGATGCAGGCTTTTTAGCTCCTTTATAAACACTTGGTAATCAATTCTTCCTGACGTCCGCTGTGTAGATAGGATTTCTTTGATAATTACATCAGCTTGATCGCTAGTCAAGTTGCTCTCAAATTGGAGTAAGATTCGCTTGAAATTGATAAAGTCCACAGTATTGTTTTCATCGCAGTTCTTTTCAAACTCTGTTCTCATTCCTCTGATATCTTTGATATTGATTTTCTTCTTTGCCAAACTTTGGGCAGCATTTTCCATTATAGTTTGGGAACGCATAAGTTTAAAATTTTTAGCGATCCCAGATGAGAATTTTTCGGCTAAGATAGTCTGATGCTTCATTGAAAACCACTCATGAGCTAGTCATTCCTCAGCAGTGTACCTCTTAGTAAGGTCAATGTTAATCATGTGATGTATAAGATCTTTAGCTTGATCGCTGATGTTATCCCAGACACCCGAATCCATTGAGTATTCTCCCTTTATAGCTTTCTGGAAGATAGTTTCCTTACCATCGCTCACAAAAGGGAGGCAGCCACTGAGAAGAGTGAACATCATAACTCCAACAGACCATATATCTCATTTCGGCGTCTTCTCTTTTCTCAATATTTCAGATGCTAAATAAAATGTTTTTCCAGTCATCATCTGAATAGTTGTGAAAAAGTCCCACTTGGATAATCCGAAATCAACAATTTTTAGGTTACCCTGGTCATCACAGAGAACCTTATTTGGGCTTAAGATCTTTGTGCATGATTTCCTCTGAATGTCAGTACTTCAAGACTTCGAGAAGCTTCTTGATGATCTCAGAGACCTCTTGCTCATTGAAGGAGTTATTCGCTTCTACTTTCTGAATAATCAGATCAAATAACTCTGTTCCTTTGAAATATTCCATAACGATATAAATGGTCTTTTCTGTTTCATAGCTTTCTAGATATTTTCACATGTTAGGATGCTCAAGTGTTTCCAAAGATTTCACCTATAATGAAATTTAGGTCTATAAAAATACCTCTTTTAGCACCGTTGCAGCGGTCACCTCTTTGTTAGTCACACTCATCTGCTTATTTAGCAATTGCTAGAGAGAAGGTTAGGGGGAGTAATAAGGAGTATGCTACTGAATTGTTTAGAAATCAGAAAATTAGGGGCATAAAAGGTGTAAACCAACCATGGACTTTGAAATGAATACTCACCTTTAATTGCAACTTTCTCCGAAGGGCTATCCTTCAGAGATGCTAAGAAGATCTTGCCTAAAAGCCCATCATTTGAAATAACAGATTCTATTTTATATTTGGACTTGAGAGAATCTTTTACATATGTAGTACTCTCAATAATTCGCTGTTGTCTGCAAGAAGTTCATCCCATTTATTTGCTAACTTATATATCAACTTTTAATATCATTATGGGGTTTTGGGGTTTTGGGGTTTTGGGGTTTTGGGG